TGGCCTTGGGGTGACCAGCAGGTGGGGACGGGGTGTGTGTCTCTACTTAGGAATTCTACCTAAGCAAAACTGTCAGAGGGAAGACGGTAATGTTTCCACAGTTAGAGAGGAACCAGAGACTCCTCAGAGTGTGCCAAGGACTCCGCAGTAAGAGCTCTGGTTCACCTGCCCAAATCGCTCAGAATCCCTGCAATGGGGAACGTGGCCGATTACACGTACATGGCAGGAACAGTCCCCAGACCTCAAGAAAGTAGAATTTTTAAAAATCCAAGTTGGGGGGGTGGGGGGTTTCCAAGGCAGGAGATCTACTGGGAAAAGCAACTCAAAACCGGGTGTGGGTGTGGGCGCAATGGTACAATTGGCACAACTGTTCCAACGAGGGGAAAATGAAAGTCAACTGCAGGTCTGTGGCTGCCCAACCAAGAGCGCCCATCTCATGAGGGAAAGCAGAGCTTGGAATGAGCCGAGTTGGGGAAAGGATCCCAGCTACAGACCAAAGAGCTTCCTCAGATGCAGCCAAAATCAAAGCAATGGCATCTGCTGCTAAAAGACAAGGCAGACCCCTCCATGCTGGATTTAGCTCCGTTTCCTCCAGAAAAGAGGAACCCTGTTCCACCAATCTCTTCCGCACAGAGCAGGAGGAAGGGGCAGGATTTAAGCCTGGTCACGGAACATAACTCTCCTTTGAGTTTAAAAAGGCAGAGATAAATGCATTGCATTCCAAAACAGTAAAGGAATTTGTCAACCACTTTTGAGAAATCACAAAGAATGGATCAAAGGGGAACAAGTTTTGTTCTCCTCTTCAAAAGTGGGTGAGAAAGAAAACCGGGAAACTGCAGATCTACCACAGGTCATAAACAGATTGAGATCCATGGCTGGCTTTAAAACTACAGAATGGCTCCACATCAAATTGAAATAGGATAAATGGAAATAATACAAAATTCTTCATTTAGGAAAAAAAGTCGAATGCACAGGTCTGGGGAAAGGGAATTGGCGTGTATGAAAAGACCATTAGGATGATAAATGAGAACAAGCTGAAGTGTGAAGTAATTCCCCAAACATAAACGTTTCATTCATCATCATCTCATTAGATTCATACCTGGCCAGTTTAGGTTATCACACTGTTATTTAGGTTCAGAGAAACTTCAGAGGGTTTCAGAGGAGAAAAATGAGGATGATCAGAAGAGATAAAGGGAAGTTAGCCTTCAGTAAAGATAACTAAGATAAGATGAAGAGAGCCCCTTTCAAGCATTTTAAGGTGTGTCACACAAAGATCTGATTTCCTTTTCATCCTAAGGACACAAACAAGAATCACAGGATCATAAAATTGGAAGTGACTTCAAAGGTTACAGAGTCCAACCTCTTGCTCAACACAGGATCTATGAAAGTCTCAGAAGACCTCCGGTGAAGACAACACTCTACTCACAAGGCAGCTCAGGAAATTTCTCCTAATATCTCCTGCACTGCAGATTCAGCCTCTTAGTTCTGGACCTGCCCTCTGGATCAACAGAGAATATGTTTCCCACCCCCCCACCCCACTTTCAGGCCCCTGATGGCTGCCATCGTATCTCCCCTCAAGCCTTCTCTTCCGAAGGCAGTTCCATTCCTGCTTCTCAGAGGACCTGACTTCTTCATGCTCTAGAAGCCCATCTATGAGCTTGCTCTGGCTGCTCAATGTCCCAGGCAAAGGAACAAATATTTACTGCAACCCAGACTCTGCTTTGTTAGGACATACCAAACCTGCCTTTTTAGTGTGAAAGAACATGTTTTACAGGGCCTCAGAAAAAGCCCTCTGGGCCTCCACTCTATCCTACTTTTCTACTTTTCTATCCTACTTTTAAAGCTGAAGCAGAGCCTTTAATGACCACCATTCAACCGACAGTGAGCACATCTAACAGTAGCATCACCTGAATATTAACATTTTATTATAGAAGAGCTTTGTGGAATGTTTTCCTGGTGCCTGTTATTCCCACGGTTAATATTTCAAGACTTGTTCATGACAAACTCATTCTGGCTCTCATGGACTGATTGACGCATTCCTAGCCAAACAGTCACAAATGTCCAGTTAATCTGTGTGGAAGAGCTTGGAGCAGGAGAGGGGCCAGAGTGAGGCCTTCCCTTCCCTCTTTGGAAGACAAGGACTACATTTAGTCTCTTCCTGTCTTCTGGAATCTCACCAGATCTCTGTGGAAGTTGCCCATCCAAGGACTAACCAACCTGAACCTGCTAAATTTCCGAGCCCAACTCAACTCAGGCAGCCTTAAAATATTAAAAGGGTTGCCTTGTTGTTCAACTGAGTAACAATAATGGGGCAGCCCCAAAGGAGGAATACATAAATCAGCCATCAATGTGGTAAGAACGGGGAAAAAACACAACCAGGAGGGCATAATTCCTGCAGGGACTTGAAGAACTGGCTTTGCAAGGGACTGGAACCAATTTGCTTGGAAGAGACGCAGAACAACTAAAGTGATTTGTCAACCATCATCAGGGTTGAGCCGAGAGGCTTAGATCCCACCCCGGCAGACCAGGAAATTGGAAAAGGAGATATTGAGCCGGAAGGGGGAAAAGTTGCCAAACTATACCAGCTAAAAGCTCTCTGGCTTAAAAACAAAATCAGTGTGTTGCCTTCTGACATCTTCACTTCCCTCGGGACAACCTTCTCCCATCAACATTGGCCGGCCTGAGAAGATCCAATAGGGTGGGCTCCCTCCACACCACTTCTGTCAAGGGCTACCATCCACAGAGATTCTCAAAGGGAATCTTTTCAGGAATGCCCCTCACCCCAAATAGCTTGCTCCAGACAACTGAATGGCTCCACCTTCTTCACTTCAGAAGTCCATCAAATTGTGGCCCTTCCACCAGGCCACAGGCACTGGAAATTGTTCCCTCTGAAGAAGAAAGCTGTTTTAATGTCTGGCACACTGAGTGTGCTGTTCCTATTTTTTAGTTTCTTTTTTTATTGATTTACTTCAGGGTTATTACTTACATTTATTCTAAATCTTAATTTAGAAAAATGGGCAATTGTAAGAATCCACTATGACCGAAGTAGATATAGGTAGAAGCAGATATAGGTAGCTAGAGCTGTAATCCGGCCTCTGCCTCTCTTCTCCTGAGGCTTTCTTTCTGAGAGAAAAGCAACTAACACATTTTAACTCCATCACGTATGTCACAGTCTCCATGAATCCAACATGCTCGGATTCATGTGCATCTCCTGTGATTTACAGGTGTGTTATACTTGTGTCAAAGTCAGATTCCAAGAAACAGCCTGATGGATCTTCCTCCATCCCCCATGCATTAAGAGGAGATCCCTAAATCCAACAGCACTTGGATCAACCAAGAAGGTCATTTAAAGCATATTTGAGAATACCACAAATCTACATTGAGCTACTGCCGATTCTTAACTATAGATAGTCCTTGAATTATGGCCACAATAAAGTCTAAAATTTCTGTTGCTAAGTGAGACATTTGTTAAGTGAATTTTGCTCCATTTTACAACCTTTCCTAACACGGTTGTTAAGTGAATTACTGTAGTTGTTAAGTTAGTAACATGGTTGTTAGCTTCCCCATTGACTCTGCTTGCCAGAAAATCACAAAAGGGGATCCCATGATCCCAGGACACTGCGACCGTCATACTTATCAGTGCCAATTTTGATCATTGATCCTGGGGATGCTGCAACAGTCATAGGTGATGGAAATGGCCATGTCACTTTTTTCAGTCCCACTGTAACTTAGAACGGTCACTACTGGGACACTGTGGGTCAAGGACTTAAGGAACGCAGGAGGAGAAGGAAGGTATTTGTTTTGCGTGTGTTTCCAAAGTACACAATGAGTAAAGGAGCTACAAATGGATCAGCCCAACACTTGTGCAACACTGATAAGATCCAGCAGGGCACTTAATATTAACTCAGGCTGAGAGAAGTCCGTCGCCCGATGGACTGCAGGTGGCCTGGAGTACGCCAGCCCTTCAGCCATGCCTCTGTGGCCCCCTCCCCTCCGGTTCTTTTTTCTTCCAGCTGAGATTCTTCCTCCAGACCTGGGGGGCAGGGAGGACAGGATAGGAAATGGGGGGGGGGAGGCAAAGCAGCAGATGGAGTTGTTGAGGTAGAAGTGGCTCTTTCTGGCCGCTACTCCTGACACCGGCCAGAAAATTAACCACGGGTTTGTCTTATAAATTGTTTCAACTTCTACCCTCAAAACAATGCTATAGGGCACTGCACACCAGAACAGCTAGACACAAGGACAGTTTTTTCCCAAATGCCATCACTCTGCTAAACAACTAATTCCCACAACACTGTCAAATTATTTACTGTGTAATACTATTATTCTTCTCATCCTTCCTAGTACCTATCTCTTCCCACTTATGACTATAACCATGTTGCTTGTATCTTTACAATTTATATTATTTGTTTCCCAGTACGATTTGATTATTAGTAACCTATGACTAAGTGTTGTATCTTATGATTCTTGATGAATGTATTTTATTTTTCTTTATGTACACTGAGAGCATATGCATCAAAGAAAAATTCCGTGTGTGTCCAATCACACTTGGCCAATAAAGAATTCTATTCTATTCTATTCTAAAATTAACCACAGGTTTGTCGCCCCATGTAACCCCAAAAGTCAGCCAAACCAATGACTTATGCTTTAAATAAATGAAATTAAAACAAGCCATGTTTTCAGATGGATTCTGTCTTATCATTGTCAGTTTGGGCAAGGCAACTGGAACCACAGCATGGTTTAGGATGTCATGTGGACTTGCCCGTGTTGAAAACACGAGAGTCAACATTGGACATTTTGGAAGAGAACAAAATAGCCTTCAGTTCTAAAGCCGACTTTTAACTGTTCTTCTACTCTGCAGGCCCTCTAACAGAAGAGCAGCTGCAAGCACCCAATGAAGCCTGAGGGCCATTTGGGGCGGGATGCCTTGGCACCAATGCCTCCATCCTGCCTGTGATGTTGCCCATCGCTCCCCTCTCCCTGCAATGCCCCCAAGGACACACCTTTCTTCCAGGAAGCGTTCCTCTTCTGGCACACTCAGCAAAGGGGCCCGAACCCCAGGGTTCTCTGCAAGGCAGCCAAATGATCCAGTCTCAAAGAAGCAGGAATGTGGCCTGTAGAGGGAAAGGGGAAAAGGGACAATTGGTCATCCATCCTCCTTCCAAACTCTTCTGAAAGGAGCTGCTAAAGGGGGCGGTTCCCAGCAGCCACACATCCTCTGGGGCAAATCCTGTCTCCCAATTCAGCTGGGGACAAGCCTGAAGGTGAAGTTTACAGGTCTTTCTTCAGCTTGAGAACTGACACTCATCCCAAGACTTGGAAGGCCCACTGCCTTTTCAGCACCGTCTCATCTCAGAGCAGAGGGGCACAATTGAGGATTCAAAATACCAGTTGACTATTTCCTAAGAAAACCCAATTCCAATTGAATTTACATGTGACATTCTCCAGCACCTTACCCCAAAAGCAAGAATAGATTGGAAGAAGTTGTACTCTCCTGAACTACAAGCTTTTGGGGAACAGGCGTCACTGGCAAACACAGAAAGGGTCAGGGTGGGATGTGGACTGGAGTCCCAGGAAGGAGGGGCTGCACTCCAGAGGACCAAGAGAGGTTTATAGCGTTGGATCTAATCATTGAAAGAGGGTCCAGATGGCTCCTCCCTAGACGTTGGGCAACTTTAACAACGCAAGTAGCTGCTTTAGTTTGGCAAGGGTTGTGAAATGTGAGGAACAATAAACGAAGGGGGGCTTCAGAAATAACTGTGTTTCTCTTGGTTTTTGGAGCCTGCCACAAAAATCAATTCAGCCGAAACTGCAAAGCCCTCCTCGGTCTTGCTCTCCATTTCATTTTCCAGATGAGCTGATGCTGCGTAACTGGAACAAGCTGGTTGACAGGTAAAGAAAGTGGGAGCCTTTAGCCAGTTTTGGCCTCATTGGGTGGGGGGGGGAGGAGGACAGAAATCCCCATGTTAATCACAAGACAGTTGGAAGTGCTCAGTGGTAACATAGCGGAAGAATCGGTAAAAGTTAAATGGGGAGATGTACAAAAACAGGAGCTACCTTCAATTACTAAGAGATGCACTGGCAAGTACTAAAAGCTACAGAAAGTTAAAAAGAAACTCAAAGCTCAAAAGGAACTTGGGCTTGGAAAGGAGGCCACAATAAAAGGTGACGGGGGGGGGGGGGGGGGGGGGGGGGGGAGGAGAAAGGAAAAAGAAAAGAGGGGGGGGGGGGGGTAGGTGGGGGAGTATCAGTAAGAATAGAAACAAAACGTGACAATCACATTTGCAGGCAACCAAGTCAAGATTCCGGAGGATCTTGAGGAACTGGGACACCAGGCCAGGCCTGGACACCTTGAACTGAGTGGGGTGCTGCTGAGCAACCAGCAGGTCAGCGTCTGCTCCCCCACCTCCTGCCACCCAAGAGAAAGGGGGGAGCTGCGGTCAGAGATCTCCGTGGGGACTCCCCTGGGCACAAGACGGTTATGCTGCCTCCGAGGGCCAGCAACTTGTGGGAGCGAGGGGGTGGCTTTGGGCTCGAGAGACCCAGGTCATCCTTACAGCATTTCCTAGGGGCCACGCAGAGGGCCAAGAAGGGGGTGGAGGTGGTTTCCCTGGAGCATCATCTCCCCCAAAGCAAACCATGCTCCGAGAAACCCTTTAGCCGGCATTCTGAGTACCGGGTGAGTGCCGAAGGGGAGCCAAGCCAGGATCTGTAAATATTCTGCGGACCAAAAAATATCCTTCAGAAGGCAAACAAAGGAAGAAACCTGCTAAGTAAACAAAGGGGGGAGAGGGGGGAGAAGAGAGCTAAATCGGTTCCCTTCCTTTGCCAAAGAAACTTGAAAAGCAAGTTGGTAACTGGAACCAGGGCAAACCTCCTTGAAAAGGGCCAAGGGTGCCGTGTTCCCGTTTCAGGCAACCAGCAGCGCATCACCGGCAAAGACCCCAATCCCAACTTCGTGGCTGGTTATAACGGAGCCAAAGCCCCCGCAGCAGAAGGGGGATATCGGGGTGGTCCTCTCCTACATCCGCCTGACCAGCTGACCAGGGCAGAGGGGGCTTCTACCCAGCAAAGCCAGGTACACAAAATGCCTCTGACCCTGGAGACTGCAAAACTACTTTCCTCCCAACCCCACACCTCTTCCCCTCTTCTTCAAAGCTTGCCCCACATATGAACAAAGCCACTGCATGGCCACCTCCTTCAGAATTTCTCTCCATGAATCTACACCGGTCACTTTGCATTTCATCCTTGCTAAAATGTTCCAGGTTCACCATTTGTTGAGTTGAGTCAATGACTTCAGTCTTCAAGGGGAAAGAAGTTACAGCCCCACCACCACTCCCCAGATCAGCTCTTGCATGCACAGAGACCGGAGGTGGCCACAAAGTAAAAAGCAGAGGGCCATCTGCCTGGGGGGGTTACATTGGGATTCCTGCCAACAGGCTGGCCTGAGGGCCCAGGTGGCCTCTTTCCACTCTAGCAATCTGCAAATGGGAGCCCCCACTAGGCACAGGAAGAAGCAATCGGGGCCCATAGCAGTTCTGGCAAGAACAAGGGGGACCCAGAGGGATCACCAGGGGGGCCTGGGTGGGCCTGGAGACCAAGGAGCATCGGGCACTTTCTTCTGTCTTTGGAGGAGAACCTGAAGCACTGATCAAAAGACACCCCAGAAGACAACAAAGGAGATGACCAGCACTGGCTGTTAAAAACAGGGATGGCTCTGACCGGGAGGGGGGGGCACAGCTGGACTCAAGCTGGGTCTGAAGAAGACGGGGGAGCTTGACTGGGGGGCAGAGGGCAGTGCTACTTTTTCTGCTTCATACTGCAAGCAGGTGCCCGTTGGGAGTTTTCTGGCTCAGTCAGAGGGAGCCCCCTCCCTTTCCCTTCTGTTCAGGCTCACCCTCTAATCTTACACATACGCACGCACACGCACACGCACACACACACACACACACACAGGGGGCTGCCATGTTCCCTCTTATCAGCAGGAGCACACAAAGGCTCCTCTGGGCGCTCAGCTTCCCTCCCAACAGACTTTCTCCCTTGCAAGGTTTCGGTTATCAGCTGCCCAGCCAAATCAAAGCTGTAACTCCCTCTGCCCGTCTTCTCCTTGGTTGGGCTCAAGGAGGAGGGAATTCACGGGACACAAAAGAAACAAAAAGGGGCCCCGAGTTAGGCACATATTTACTTACCAAATGGAAAGCTTGTCCATCTGGTACAGGAGGCTCAAAATGCTATAAAATGCCCAGAAATACAGGTAGTTCTTGACTTACAACCACTCATTTAGTGACCAAAGTTACAAACGCACTAAAGTAACTTACGACTGGTCCTCGCGCTTACAACCAACACAGCATCTTTGTGGTCACCAGATCAAAATTTGGGTGCTTGGCAACCTTCCCAGCCAGCTTCCAGCAAGCCAAGTCAATGGGGGAAGCTGGATTCATTTAATGACTGCAATGATTGGCTTAATAACTGTGGCAAAAAACAGAAAATCGGGTGTGGCTCATTTAACAGCTGTCAATTAATAACAGAAATTCTGGCCTCCAGGTCCTGCCAATCTTACTCAACTTTCCGAAGGGAGCAGCCAGCTGTGCTCCACGAGTGGGAAAGGAAAAGAGCCAGGAGGCTGCCCTGAAGATCAACTGAGCCAGCAGTGGCCCATAAGGGAGACAGCCTGTTATTTACTGACACCCTTTTGTAGGCCATCCAACTCCCAGGGACTCCAGGCAGGTGAAGAAAAAGAGTAAGTGCTCCCAAGCAGCCCCAGCTCCTCCCGGATGGCGGGTGAGGGAGTCACTCCCCTCGAGGGGAAGCTGCCCCACTGCAACACCCCGTTCAGAATCAGGGCCTGTCTCTGCCCTTCAGCTCAGTCTCCCTCCTGATCTTGGAAGGAAGGAGGCACCCAAATCCCCAACAAAGGCTCCCAAAATAACTGATCCCCGAGTAGGAGCCGGGGGGGGGGGGGGGGGGTGTCTGTTGCCAGCACCTCAGCGGTGATGCAAAGAAGGACGTCCACCCCACCCCACTTACTGTATCTCCCATTGATCCAAACTACTTCCAACCTAGAAATAAGCCTGAAATTGAAAGAGATGGGTGCACAATAAGTAAAATACACCAGTATTAAATGCTGTCCTTCAAATTAAAGATTCTTCTACAACACCCTTTTAAATCACAAGTAACAGTTGTTAACAGCACAAACAGTAAATCCGTTCTCAGGCCCTTCGCTCAAGCTCACAAAACATCCTGCTTTTTAATAAAAGTTGTGACTCAAAGGTGCTTCAGACTCCCAACTTGTGGCCTCCAGAGGCAGCTCCCTAACAAGCTCTCTTCCTCCTTCGGTGCCTATTCGAGACAGCTGCTCTCGGAGACTTCGGAATCGCCAGCTGCAAGGCACGCGCGCACACACACACACACACACACACAACCACCAGCTCAAGAATCCCCACATTCTAGGGCAGCATAAACCGAACACCTATTTTTCAAGCTGGACAGTCTCTGCGTAACCATCAGGAGCGTCTCTAAAAAAAGCTCCTGAAAGAAACGCAGGGGATAAATCGCATTAGCCCACGAATGACTGAATAAGGACCATTGCGCTCCATTCTATTGAGAAAAGGGTGGTGGTGGGGAACTAGGGAGCCATTGTGGATGGCCTGGAAGCTTTCAACTGAGCTGAGGCAAATGGGGCTGAAATGAAGAGAGGGGCGATCAGAACAGAATAACAAAGCAAGAAGGGACCTTGGAGGTCTTCTAGTCCAACCCCCTGCTCAAGCAGGAGTCCCTTTCCTATTCCAGACAAGTGACTATCCAATCTCTTCTTAAAAACCTCCAGTGATGAAGCATCCACAACTTCTGGTGGCAATCAGTTCCACTGGTTAATTGTCCTCCCTGTTAGGAAGTTTTTCCTTAATTCCAGGTTGCTTCTTTCCTTGATTAGTTTCCATCCATTGCGTCTTGTCTTGCCTTCAGGGGCTTTGGAAAATAGGTTGACCCAGTGGTGGGTTTCTACCGGTTCGCCCAGATTTGGGTGAACCAGTAGTGGCAGTGGTGGGCAGCTCCGCCCACCCGCACGGAGGTCAACACGGACATTCTGCGCACGCACAGAAGGTTCTGTGCATTCGTAGAAGCGCCACGCGTGAGCGAAGCAAGCACACATGCGCTCACAGTTCCAAAGCAGTACCGAAGATAAGTGGAACCCACTACTGGGTTGACCCCCGCTTCTTTGTGGCAGCCCCTCAAATATTGGAAGGCGGCTATCATGTCACCCCTTGTCCTTTTCACTAGACGTTCCAGCAAACATTCTTTATACGTTTTAGCCTCCAGCCCCCTAACAGCCTAGTCTTTGTTGCTCTTCTCCGCACTCTTTCTAAAGGTCTCAACATCTTTTTTTATAACCTCACCAAGGAGGTAAGAAGCTAATTGTTTGGAAGCAATTGAGGAATGCCCCAGACATTAGGGGCCTGGCTAAACAGGAGGGCCTGCCCACCTGCCTGCTTTGTTGGTTGCCTTACTGTGACCAGAGCAGCAAAGGATGGGAGAAGGGCAATGTCAGACTGCGGTGCTATCTCAAAATTAAATGAATTTCCAAACTGCCAATCTTTAAGGAAATCTTTCTTTAATTGAGCTCAGCCACCGGATCAGGACAAGACTGACCTTTTGCCTCCCAATCCCTCCCTTTCCGATCGCCAAATCTCTGCTTCTCATTGGCTGTCTTCCAAGTCATTCTTCAGACTTCTTTTCCTCGTCATTTCCCAGGAATGTGCCCCCTCCCCTCATTTCCACCACAACCGGGCTTCAAAGGGATTTAGCAGGCAAAAGTTTCAGAGTTTATCTCTCGCTCTCCTCTGCTCTCTCTGTGCCAGTGTTGAAATGCTGACAGGCAAGTGATGTCCCTGTCCTCCCAGAGGAAGAAAGAGGATCCAGGTTAGTCAGACAAATTGAGCTGAGATACTAGGCAAACCTATTTTTACCTATTCTTACCTAATTGATCCTCTCAAGTATGTGTGAGGAGGCTAATGCACATTTAGGAGAGGAAGGGAGCAGTGGCCTCCCAGATGCAAGCAAGGCTCGGCTCAGTCAGCAGCCAGATCAGCTCCCTCGCCTGGAATGAAACCTTGGAGGGCCCTTGGGCGGGGTGCTGGGCTGGTTTCGGTTTTTGTTTTCTTGGACAAAAAACAAAAATAGAGATGCTGTGTCCAACAGCCAAACAGAGGGCATGCTGGGTAATGGCCAAAAAATAAAAATATGCTATATTTAATAGCTAAAACAAAGGTTTATGCTGTGATTAACAGTCAAGAAATAGAAATGATTGGTTTAACATCAAAGATAATAAAAAGAGGTAGGAGATCAAAACAAGGAGGTGCATGTTGAGAGTGATAGTTAAGATAAAATGTATAAGTTAGATTTAATAATAATTAAATAATTAATGAATGTTCAATTTCTCCAATATAATTGTATGATTTATATTGTCAAAATATCCATCTAAGCAAATGAAAGAGAAAAATGAATTGTTAACTGGATAGAATTTAAGATTTAAGTAACGGGTTTTGGGGGTTAATGGTATAGTTATATAGATAGATTTGAGGGAAATATCTGTTTAAAATATTGAGTTGTGTTAATTGAAAATAAGATTTGTTAATGATTTGTTTCAATTTGTGACCGGAGCAAAAGCTTCGTTTTGAAAAGATGTGTCCTATTTTTATTTACTTTTTTTGTTTTAAAAAAATAAAAAAAAATTATCAACGAACAAATAGATCTAATACCAGAACTATTCTTATTAGACATATTAAGGGGAAATTATAATTTAAAAACTCAGTATATCATATTACACATAACAGCAGCTAGAATCATCTACGCACAATAGTGGAAAAACGATAGTACTCCCTCTGATGAAATGGTGATAAAAAAAGTGTTAGAATGTGCAGAGATGGACAGGCTAACAATGGAAATAAAGAGATGAAACAGAATACTATTTGATTTGGGACACATGGTATAATTGGTTAGAGAATAGAAGCAAAAAAGAATAAATGTAAAAGTAAATTAAGATGTGACAATAAAAGGGTTATATATATATATAGGTATGTAATTGCAATATTAATGCATTGTATAGAATAGATATGTACACAAAAGGAAAGGAAGAATAATGAAAATAATTTGCATATACTTAGGAGATATACTGATACCAGAGAGCTGTAAAGATTGAAATTGTGATATAAAATGAAGAAAACTGTTCAATAAAAACTATTTTTTAAAAAATGCAGCTGCATCTCCTACTCAGCCAGCCACAGGCTACATTGCAAGCAAATGCAAGAAGTCAGAATATGCCTTTTCCTGCAGTGCGCTGTGGCCAGTCCAATCTATATGTTCCCAATGAGATCCAACTGGATCAGCCATGCTCTGTTTTGCCTTCCTAACCCTCATCTCATTTCATGACTTGGCCTAAAATACCTCCAGGTCCCTTCCTTCAAACACCCATCAGCCAGCTGAGCTGAACTTTGATCCCCACCTAAAACAATGAAGAATTGTGGTGCCACTTTCCCCAAGATCCCCTACACACGCACACCCAAATCTTGTTCCAACAAGCATCACATGCTCCCTTTGAAAGTCCTCTTGTTTCAATAGTCAGGGCTAAATCCCTGGCAAGCAATCAACAAACTGGCAGCCAGAGACTGAGGGAAGGGGTGCCACCCGAGGACTCCTATTGAGACTCAATGAGAGGTTGGCAGAAATGTTGCCCTTTACGATGGGAGGGGGGAGGACCCACACCTCTTGGTTGGCTATGGGGCATTCTTAGCAAAGAATGAAAACTCTCCCATGGCAAACCCTCCTTATGCTGAGACTCTGGCAAAGGTCCCCCATTCTTTTGATTGTCAAAAATCGAGGCCAAGAGGGACAATTAACCCTTCACAGCAATGGAGGGAAAGAATGAGGCAGCCGAGGAGCCAGAGTTCTCCAGGAGATTTTCAATTGGATAACATTAGACTGGAAACATTCACCGTGCTGATGAGAAACACAGGTACCTACCTGCCTCTTCTTTGAGTCTTTCAGTGGTCAGCAGAAAGAAAAGCATGCAAGCTTGTAACATTATTTGTAACAATCCTCAAGAAGCAGAACTGTAGCATCCTATCACTCTAAGAGATGCAAGCCCACACTTGCTTTGCCCTCCTTCGGACACATCCTGCACACACTCCTGCACGGGCAAGATCGTGCAGGAGGTTTTTTCTCCTTTATTCTTCAGCCTGTTGAGTAACCCAGGAGGAGGCTGTGTTGCCCCGCACTGCACACCCTCTCCTGGACGGTCCTTGGGGAGGACCCAAACTCAGCTCCCCACCTTCCCCTGGAAATGCCGTTTTCTCACCAGTTTGGGCTTGGAAGCCAGGAAGAGAAGGATCCTCTCAGAAGTCTGGTTAACAGGCTTCGTGCAGAGACTTGAGGGAGTCTGTGAAGGAATTTCCTGTGGAGGTGGGAGGAGGTTCTGCACCACAATGCCCTGCAGCAGAGAAAACCAGGTGCAAACTGACAAAAAAGATCCCCTCTTTCTGCTCCAAGAACCGGTAACACCTAACCCCTTGTCAACCCAACAGCACCCCAAAAAACCACCATCCTAATTATAGCAGTTGGAAATAAAAGGATCTGAAATAGCAGGAAAATTAGATCTTGATGTTTGAAACAACACAGGAAGTCGGCTAATATCAAGGAAATTCAACATTTATTGCAAAAATTTTCTTGCAGCAACCTAAAAGAAGATTCTGCACATGGACATCAACAGATAGATAACATCAAGTATACTCCACCAACTAAGATGGAGAAATCGTTAACAAAAACAGGAGCTGGTTCTGCATCCCCGGCCTCCCAAAACAATATTCCATTAGAATTACACAGCAATGATAAAGGTTTAATAGATGTTATAGAGTGCCTGAAGATCTCATGCATGAAATTCATGATGCTATTAAGATGAGGCAAACAAAAATATGATGAAATAAAGAAAGCCAAGTGAAACAGCTGTCCACTAAAAGGGAGGCAGAAAGCAAAACCCAACAGAGAATCTAAATATACCGTACAGAAGAAGTCTGCAAAAAATCAATGATAGGTACAAAGGTTGCATCACCAAAACAGATCCAGTTAAACAGTGAAGTGGGCCTTAGAAAATACTGCTAAGGACAAAGTTGTAGTTGAGAAATACCAGCTGAACCACTTCATGATAAGGCAGTTAAAACGATTTGTTAGCACTGAATTTAAAATCCATCATCTAAAATGTACAACGCTAAAAAAAAATGTCCCAAACCACTAAACAACTCTATATAGCACAGGGTAGCAAAACAATGTTCATTTGCCATTCAGACTTAAAGGATAGGCGGAATGAAAAGGGCCAGATGTACTGGCTGGATGCAGAAGAGGCTCCTGAAATCCCAGTGCCCCTCCCCCCCCCCTTTGGCTTCAGATTTTGGATTTTGTACCCTTCGCACGCTAGGCGTGGGGACCCCCCCCCCCCCCTCTGCCCACTTATTGGCCAAGGTGGCAAGAGCTCTGGAGCCACTTAGCATGCAGAGGAGGCCCAGAGGAAAGGCCGGTCTGGAAACAGCAGAATCGCCGGGAGGACCGTCAGCAGCCCCAGGAGACCCCAGTGGGGCGGGGGAAAGTGCTGGCGGGGGGCGAGGGGGCCCCAGAGGCCTCCAGGGGTCCCGGAGAGGGAGAAGCCCCCCCGCCCCCCCCCGCCGGTCCTCCTGGGTCTTCTGCACTGAAGCCCTCCCCCCACGCCCCCCCCGGACCCTCCCATCCCTCGGGGGGCTTCTGACGGGGCTCCTCGCGCTGGGCTCCACGTCCCTCCCGGCGTCTCTCGGCCAGCGGCACCGGCTGGACCCCCGGGCTGCCTCCTCTCCGGCCGCCGCCCTCCTGCCTTCCCGGGGGGGGTTGGGGGGCTCCCGGGCGGCGGGGCCACAGCCGGTGGGGGGCTGGGGGGGGTCGAGGCCGGGACAGGCCCGGGGAGCCCCTCAGCCTCGCCCGGCTCCGCTCTCGGGACATTCGGAGCCCAGGACGAGGCGGGGCCGCTCCCTCCTCACTCACCGGGCCCGCGGCCTTCCCCGCTCCGCCGACGCGCGTCCCGGGCTCTCCCTGGCGAGAGGGAAGCCGGCCGGCCCGCGGCAGAGCGGACGGAGCTGACTTCTCGGGCCGCGCGAACCGGGCAAGGCGAGAGACCTCATGAAGGAACGGCGGGGCGTGACGCTTCGGCCGGCCACGGTGACGTCAGCAGGGACGCTCGCGCCGCTCACCTCGGCTCGGCTCCGGTCCCTCGCGCCGCCAGCTCCGCTTCCTCGCAGCCGGACCCTGCTCGCTCCCGATTGGCCGCTCCCGCGACCCTCCCGCTTCTCACTGGCCTCCGCGGAAGACGCCCCTTTTCTTTCCTCTGTGGCCACGCCTCCCCGCCTCCGCCTCTCCCCTGTCACTCAGCCACACTTTCAAGCCTGGCGCCTTCCAGCCGATCGCTCCGCCCACCTTTCGGAATTACGTCTTCTCGTTGGCTGCTTGTCTCGCCGGGTGTAAGCTCCTAGTGGTTTCTCTTTACGCCAGTCCTCACACCCAGCTCTCTAGCCGCAGCTATTGGCCGGGCGGTCCCACCTCGTCGCTTCTATTGAATCGTTTCTCAAAGGTTGGTTTGTTCCGCCCCGCGCAGAAGGGAGACGGAAAAAATCTCCCGGTCTCTGATTGGCTGCTGGTGGGAGGGGGCGTTCCCTAGAAGGCTGCTGCACGTGGCGCACAGCTGGCCGCCCGCCCGCCTCCCGTTGCTGTTTCTGCGGCCGCCGCCAGCCGAGCGGCTCGGACGGTCCTGCCGTGCTGGCCGGTTCAGAAGCGCCGCTGAGCCACTGGACGGAGGGGGCGGCCTTGAGCCCATCTTGGCTGATCTCTCTATTCATTCTGAAAGTATTTGGGCACCGGCTCAGGAGCCAGCCAGAGAAATAAGAAGAAGAATAAATTCGATTTTATTTCATTTATTTTATTTTATTTTTCAATTTATATACCGCCCTTCTCCCTAAGGACTCAGGGCGGTGCACAGCCAGAATTAAGAACATGAAGTACAAATATTAAGAACAATTAATATATATATAAATTTGGCCCAAAAATTTAAAAATCACAAACCAATTAAAACATTTTAAAAATTTAAAAATTTCTTCTTAAGCCAGCCCGTCTTGCTGGAAAAAGTGGGTTTTAAGGGCACGGGGGAAGGCACTGAGGTCTTGGATTCTCCTTATCTCTGATTGACTTAGTTCATGCTTGGATGGGAGACCATGAGAAAATCCCATGCCAGGCGGCGGCCAAGGGAGCCATTTTTGGAATGCTGCCAAAAAAGCAACGAAATCCCTTAACCTTTAGGAAGATATTCTCCAGCCTTTCGAGTCAATTACGACACGCCTAATCTGCTTACACAAATGTTTTTTAAAGATTTCTGAATAACGTTTGAAGTTGCCTTTTCTCCTTTTATTACTATTTTATTGTTCATTACATTTTTATCCCATCTTTACTACGTTATAAATAACTCAAGTGGCAAACATACACAATGCTCCTTCCTCCTCCTATTTTCTCAAGAACTGGCGAGGTGGGTTGGGGACTGAGAAAGAGGCCCTGGCCCAAAATCTCCCAGGTGGCTTCCATGCCTAAGGCGGAACTAGAACTCACCATCTCCTGGTTTCTCCTTGACCCAGGGGTGAAATGTAAAATCTGTTACTACCGGTTCTGTGGGCGTGGCTTGGTAGGGGGGGGGTAATGTAACTGGGTGGGCGTGGCCAACTTTTTTTTTTTTAACTTTTCAAAACATTTTTTCTAATGCTTTGAAAAGCCTCTCTGCCGATCAGGGAACTCAGCTGGGATCGTCAGAGACTTTTCAAAGCATTTTTTTTATCACCTCTTCGGCCAAGAAGTTGCAGAAAAAAATGCTTTGAAAAGCCTCTGAAGATCCCAGCTGAGCCACACGATCATCAGACGCTTTTTTTTTTTACTTTTAAAAGCATTTTTTCATCGGAAGAGGTTGTAGAAAAAATGCTTTGAAAAGTAAAAAAAAAAAAAGCCTCTGATGATCGGGTGGCTCAGCTGGGCATGGTGGGGGTGGGGCACGCAGGGATTTTTGCTACCAATTCTCCGAACCATCCACCGCCATCGCTACCGGATCGGGCGATCCCATGCGAACCGGGAGCATTTCACCCCTGCCTTGACCATACACCAAATTGCCTCGTCAAACTACTATTTTGATGCCTTTCTGTTCATAATGGCTCGCAGCTTAAACATAAAAAACCCCGCCGGCCGGGACCATTAGCCCACGACCCCAACTGGTCCCTCCCAGAGCCCGGCCGCGGCTTTCCCACAGACAAACGCGGGGCTTCCACCAGGGGACGCCAGAGTCGCGCGGGTGCCGCCTGCCTGCCCCCCCCCCCCGCCCTCTCCCCAGTCTCCGCGGGGAGCGATCCCCAGCTGAAGCCTGCATAGCCGCTCCCGGCCGCTGCAGCCGCCAGACTGGAAAGACTAAGGGAGGCCTGAGCGGGACAAATGAAACGGCCACTGGAGCATTTCAGAGGCCAGTGGAGGAAGGAGCCGGAGATGCGGAGTCTCGGGGGGGGGAAAGGGCTCCGCAACCCAAGCGCACCGCTCCTCCTCCCAGTCACCGCAGGGACTCAGGCCGCCCTGTCCCGCTCACTTAGACCGGGGACTCGTCGCTTCCTCGGCCGCCTGGCCTGCCCTAGTCCCGCCGCCCACGCTGCTTTCCCCCTCTGACTGGGGTGAGGGGTGAGCGGGCCCCCTCTTCTCCGAGTAGCCGTTGGGCCTCGGCCTCCGGGAGGTTAACCCAGCGTCCCTCTGGCTGTGCCGAGCGCGGACAGGTGTCCTTTGGACTCATCCACCCCCTCCTTTGCCTCCAGCCCTGGCCTAAGCGCTGCAGGAGCAGCTTTGGCCTTAAGGCTCTGCTCCAGAGAGTCACCACCCCGCTGAGGCCAAATTCTACCGGGCTTCCTAAGATCCATCATCCCCTTCCTGAAGAAGGGTGCGGTATCTGCCGTGGGAAGCAGGGAGAGGCCCCCAAGCCCTTTGCTCCCTGCCTGGGGACGTGTCTGTAGGGCCTGTCTTGACCTTTCTACCCCGTCTGAGGGGCAGCTGATAAAAGGGCTGTTGAGAAAGTCCAAAGAGTTCAAGTCTGCAAAAGTCACTCCTCTTCCCCACCTCAACGAATCATGCAACATAAGGGGAGGAAAAAGCTCTGGCTGAGCAGAGCGACTTGACTCTTCGTCCTGCAGCCAGCCAGGCCCCAAACCCCCATGACCAAGCACACAGGCTTCCGGAGGGCCTGCTCGCTGAGGGTGCCCAAGGCCGCAGGGCTGCTGGATCGTGTCCATGGAAGCTCCTACGGCTCCTTGGAGGAGGCTCCTCTCCCCTGGGAAGCCGAGGAGGCTCCTTGGAGGGCGGAGGGCAGCCTGGGCCACAGCCAGGAAGGGGCTTCCCAGGAAGGAGCCAGGAAGAAGGGCAGCTGCAGACACCAAGCCCTGAGCCTGAAGGGGCAGGACATGAAGGACGAAGAGGCCCCCCCGGCAGGTGAAGCCAGTGACGGGCAGCTGCTCATTGGACAGGCTCATGGCAAAGCCCAAGCCAGCAACAGGGTGAAGCGATGCCAAAAGGTAAGGGGAGGAGAGTTCAGCCACTTGGGGGGAGGCAGGTTGCTGCCAAAAGGAGTCTGCCCTCCCCAGAGATTTTTCAGCCAGGACAAGACTGAGCTCCCAAGAGAGCCTCACCATGCCTGCTAGAAAGCTGGTAACCCCGTCCATCATTGGCTTGCCAGATGAGCGGACCAGGTAATGCAGGACAGAAAAATCTGCTGCAGCCCAAAGGCCTCTCTTGTTGCGCCTCAGAGTTGCCACGCAGTGGCAAGGAACAAGACCCTCTCCCTTCTGCCTCCCCACAGAAGCAGGAGGGCTCCCCACTTTGCACAAGTTCCAATCATCCCTGGAACTGATCACTTTGAGAGAGGGTCCCCGTCCTTCCATCTTAGTTTTGTGGCCTCGCTTTGCACAGGTATGGAAGCTGCTCTGGAGCTGCTAAAGCTGATTTGAGGCTTAGCTGGCTGCCATTCTGGCAAGCAAGGGACACACACACACCTTTTCCTGCTGTGTTCCTCCCATAGGATGGCCTGATCACCTACCTGCTTGGACACAACTCCTCCGCCCCCTTTCATCTTTTCCGAAGGTCTGTGACTTTTTCTCTGGGTGTCCATCTGGGCCGCGGAGCATGTGAGACTTGGTGGTATTTTCTACCTTCCCATGAGGAAGGCAAAAACAAGCTGGAGGGGAGCCTCTTCTCTTCTTCCACTCCTTACTATCTTGACTGGCAGATTTTACGTCCCAGCACTGCTCAGCCAAGGCGGTTTCTGAAAGGCCCCCAGAGGCCTCCGTGAGGTTCACCAGGGACCCCAGACTCTGCGCTTCTTTCCCATCCTTTTCAACCTCTGGGGACAAGGACCCACATAGTTTTCTGCAGCTGAGCCAGACCTAGGTCAATCCCACTTCCCCCACTTCGGGCTGGGGAGAAGAGGTCCCCATTGTTATCCTCTTACTTGGGTCCAAATAATTGCTCCATGTAGACAACACATACACACACAAAATAGCCCAGGATGAACCTCAGGGGTTGTGCCTAACTCTGCTTGCCCCCAGCAGGTCAATCGTACCCTCCAGAGGGCCTGGCAGAGCTTCCTCGACAACGTGCACAGACTGACGCTGATGCACTCGGCCTCTCTGCCCACCCGCCGATGGTGATGGTCCTGTTCCTGGAAGCAGCTCCCTGGAAGGAGCAGAGCAGACCCCAGAGAGCCACGGGACAGTCTCTTGGACAGGTCACCCACCAACGGCCCCAGCAAGGATGGAGGACAATTTCTCACAGGGAGGGCTTCCCTGTCAGAGTGGAGAACAGCTGCTGCCCTCCTCCTCCAGTGGGAACTGCCTCAGGCCTTCTCCTGTCCCCGGGTGGCCTGGAGGAGCACCCAGAAGGCAAGGAGATTCAGGACACTTGCATGCACTCTGATTCGTGGACCCTGGTTCTCACCTGTTGATAAGAGAGGGTTGGGCAGCCATATGGACAACTCACCTCAAGCAGGCTTGTGAAGAGCAACGGCCTCTCTCTTCTGCAAAGAGTCCTCCTCATACTGATCAATCCTCCCCCCATCTGCCCACATCTTTGGCACTTGGCC